AAAGCTATTGGGTACCTCAATGGTATTACTAGATACACAAAAGGGTGTGCTTGAAGACTACAAACCTGTAGTGGATGCTCCAAGCACGGAATCCAATGAACCGCATCAAGGGGGAAGCTCGCTTTACGATATTGTTGACAATTGATGCTCCAGGACATTTTCAAACATCGATGTTCAGTATCAAACATCAATGTTCAAGGAGTTCTTTTTTTTACAAACATTAATTTTTTTTGAAGTGCTTTTTGCTAATGTCAAAAGGGGGAAGATATAAAGGTTATGCATAGATTGAGGGGGAACTATTTCTAAATTGCATTTATTAAGGGGGAACATTTTTTAAGTCTCAAATCAATCCTCCTATGCATAACCCCGTCTTGTTTGCCATTATCAAAAAGGGGGAAATTGTTGAAACACGGGTTTATCGTGTTTTCGTACTAAAGCCGTGTTCGTTTTTATGACAGGTTTTGATAATGCCAAACCGCCGTGAACGAGACAAGTTGTTGAATATACAAGGCGAGAAATAAATATAAGAAGAAAGCAAGAGAACAAGACCCAAAAGAAGACCAAGAACGAAGACCGTAGTCTTAGTGTTGTTGAGTCGGTCTTAATTATGATCAAGACCGACCCAACCTTTACACCTTGGCTCTTTAGGCTAAAATTCTTTTCATTGCATCTCACACATCATAAAAATGTTTTTCAGACATGTTTAAAACATTAAAAACACTTGGTGTTCGCCTAAACCAAAATTCAAGCCATCCGGCGTTCGGGTTTCAGAAACCGGCGTTCGGCATTCGGTTTTCGGCGTTGGTTTTTGGCGTCCAAACTAACCAAGTGGTTTTCAACTTTTTATGATTGGTTTTTACTTCTGGGAACATTTAAATAGTTTTCCATCAAAAACACTTCAAAAACCACCTTTCGTTTTTTGTCGTTTGCTAAAAACCACGCGAAACGGCATAAACTTGGCTAGCCGTGGTTTTCACTTAAATGAAATGGTTTTCGAGTCTTTTTTTTGTGGGAATTGTTTTTGAATGCATTTAAATGGTTCTCCAATCAAAACATCATGAAAACCAGCTTCCGGTTTTGTCATTTGGTGAAAACCACCCGTGTACGGTGTTGACTTGGTCAACCATGGTTTTTACCTTAACGACGTGGTTTTCAACTTACAAAGCTTGTTTTGACATCACAATACATTAAATAATTGTTTTAAATACTTAGTTTTTACTTTGGAGAACTTTGCATTTTTCGGTCGGGTTTGAGCGCCGGTCGGCTAGGCCATGGTTCTGGGCTAGCCATCTACCCAGCGATGGTAGAGTTTACCCATGCATGGGTAAGTGATCCCGGGATTCCAGAATCATGCCACCCAGCGATGGGAAGATCTTCCCATCGATGGGTAAGCAGTCCCTTAGCCAAACCAA